ACATGACCTAGTAATAGCATAGGAACCGAAACCACTTATCTCCAATCACTGAAAACCACAACTCATTTCAAGAAATTCTTACACAGCTCTAATTTCCTACAGTTAGCCATATGTGGCCAGAAAGCATCGATTAAGTACGTACGTGTCAAGCGTTCATGCAATCCTAAACCGGAAAAGGAGAAGAGGATGCATGCATGTAACGTACTTACTCCACACTGCACTGCCGAGTGACAGTGGAACATTAGGCTAAAAGGTACTCCTATACCAGCACCAAACTGGCCACTTGTATACCAAGAAGCATGCAGGCGTCCAATAATAATGTTCAGGAAAAGGGCCCGAATATCTTGGTGACACTTGGCTGTCATGGGTTCATGTCTGGGCTCTGTAGAGCTAGCTAGCTTAGGGGGGATTCATCCGTGGCAGGGGAAAAGGAAAGAAAGCTGCTGCTGCTGGCGAGCTAGAGATCGAGGAAGCTAGGTCACGAGGATAAGGACCAGACGACGCCATGGCCATGCACGGAGCTCTGGTCTCCGTCTGCTGGTAGCTAGAAAGGGACGGGAGCTGGGAGATGCGGAGACGAGGTCGGGCCTAATGATTTGAGTGATTTGGGCGCGCCATTGGAAAGCGGCGACGGTGGCGAGAGCGCTTTGGAAAAAGCGAGGAAAAGCTGATGAGAGGGCGGCCTAGTGAGCTTAGTTGGAGCCATGGAGGACGCTTTCCCCCTCTGGGGTACGTTTGTTTGGTAAAGTGATCGAAATGCATGCTGGGTTGATCCGCCACCGGTGTGCCATTGGTGGAGAAAAATGACTACTTGCTTGTCACTCTCTAGAGAGTCGACTTCAGTACGTGTTTTAATTTGCACTAGCAAGATGAAACATTTTAAAATGTCACTCTCCATGTGTAGCTAGCCTTTGATGATAATTTCAGCCTTAGATAGTTTTGCTTGCCCATGGTTTCAATAAGTTGCTGCAAGTGATCTCTCTCCTCTCCACACTCCTTTCTTCTTCCTCGTTTCTGACAGGTGTTTTTGGCTGGTGCCCTGCCCCAAGCGCTGCTCTTGTCGCTTTCATCTCCGGCACCATTACACCCCACGCCCTCGCTGCGCACTGCTATGCACGGCCGCGTTATATAACAAAACAACAACATACATATTCTATCTATAGGTCGCTTTTTATCCAACTTTATATTGAGGAATTTGGACTCTATCTCCTACTCCCTCCTGTCAATAATAGTTGGCTTTAGGACAAAGCAAATGAACTGCCCCTCCATTTGAAATTAGTATGCGTAATTTGTTTTCTTAGTGCAAGACTTTGACCAACAATTACTTGATTCGTATATTATTTATGTATATGATTTCAAATTATACTAATATTCATCGATAAGTTCTTTTCGATTTTAATCTAATAACACCAATTTTGTACTCTCAAATAACTACAACTAAATAACATATTACCTCCTAAAATAAAAAGTAATACTAGAAATAATTTTTATATCACACTTCTACATCTCAGTCAACTGAGATGTCGGACTCCTTCAGGAGACGGCGCCCGCTCCCCACGCGCCCCGACGCGGCTTCTCCCTCTCTCCCCACGTGCCGCCACTCCTCCCTCTCTCTCCCCTCCGGCGGCGGCGGCTGGTTTCAGCGGCGAGCTCCTCCCCGGTGAGCTGCTCCCCGGCGAAGCTCCTCCGATCCCCGCGCCCCACGACGCCATGGACGGCAGCTTGGAGTGGATCAGGCGGTGACCATGGCAGATCCAACGGCGGCCATGGAGGATCCCGTGAGGTAGGCCTCCTTCTCCTCCTCCTCCTCGTCCTCCTCTTCCTGGATCTACGAGTTAGGGTTTCGACGAGCTTCTCCTCTCTCTCTCTCCCAACTCCGGCGACCTTCTCCTCTCTCTCTCTCTCCCAACTTTGGTGAACTGTGAAAAAGGAAGGGGCCTAGGGAGGCAGTCGGCCAGGCGGTGGGGACGGTGGCCGGGCAGTTTAGGGGTCCTGGTGGCCAGGACATGTCGGGGTGGGGGCGACGCCATGGCGGCGGTGAGAGGGGGAAGGGAAGAGGGAGGCCGCCGCGGGAGTGATAGGTGAAAGCCCTAGTTTGGTTTTGGCTAATTGATGAAATCTATTGGACTAACCCTATGCTCTAGTTGTGTATTTGAGGTAGGTTGGTCCAAGTCCAAGTGGTGGAGCAAGATGGCACTCAAGGATGGAGGTGGCCAAAAGATGGTGAATCAAGTGCTCCAACTTAGAAAAGAAGAAAGAGAAAAACAAAATGGGCTCAAGGCAAAGGTATATGAAACAGGGCCATTTTGTTTTGTCGGTCAAGACACTATAGAGAGTGTGACCAGATTTAGGATAGATAGCCGTACTATGAAGAGGGGAAAATCATGGTAAAAGCGATTATCAAGTGCCACTATGTGATGTCATTTCATGCATATGCATTAGAACCTAGTGTGTGCTAACTTGACCCTTGAAAATGCTTTGGAAAATGCTAACACATGTGCACAAGTGGTGGAACACATTGGTGTTTGCACATGGAAGCAAGGGTGGAAGAAAAGAGTTGAGAGGAGAAGAGTTAGGGGCGTTGAACCCTGGTTGGCAGGGCAGCCGGACCATGGGCTGCCGGTTCGGTAGCATACCCTAACTTAGGCCGCACTAAATGGGAGCATCAGACCCGGACCTAGGCAGGGCATCGGCCCATGGTGCCAGAGTCTGGTTGGTAACCCTAAGTGGGGCAACACTGTGCGCGTGGGCGCCGGACTCAGTCCGGAGGGAGCCGGACCAAGGAGTGTGGGTCTGGAGGTTGGCAAAATAATTATGAGCAAGACAGAGAGCAGCCAATTTGCGTCGGACCCTAGCGAGCTTGGTCCGGAGGGTTTGGCCGGACCCAGTCTGGAGCTATTTTGGGGTCTCTGAACCTCTCTGGAAAGCGCCGGACCCGTGCTTGCATTGGTCCAGCCAGGCACTATGTGAGTCCGGTCCGAAGGTTTGTAGGGAGCCGTTGGAGTTCCAACGATCGAGTGGACACGTGGCAGCGCCAAATTCAAAGAGGGGAGGCATCAGACCCGTAGCCAATGGTCCGGAGCTCCCGGAGTCCGAGTCCAGAGCTCGGTCCGACGGCCCTTCGTGGGCATAACGGCTAGTGGAGCCTTAGGGCTCTATAAATAGATGTTGGCCGGCTCTAGCTCACTCTATTGGATATTTTGATCATTGATACATCCTTGTGAGCTAAGGAAAACCTCTTCCACTCATCTCCTTTGCTTGATTGTGCATTCCAAGTGAGTTGGGAGTGGTCCAAAGTGCATTTGCTTGAGTGATTGCATCTAGTGGCACTTGGGGATCGTTCTTGTTGCACTTTTCTTGTTACTCTCGGTGGTTGCCGCCACCTAGATGGCTTGGAGCAGTGAAGGAGTGTTGGCACGAGTTGGTGATTGTTCGTGGCCACACCCGGTGTGATTGTTAGGGGTCCTTGTGCTTATTCCCCGGCGGAGCGCCAAAAGCAACTCTAGTGGAATGCTTGTGACTTGTGTACCCTCATCTTGAGTTGGTTCTTACGTTGCCTTTGTGTAAGGCTAGGCTTGTGTATGTCTATTAGCGCGTGAACCACCAATTGAGTGCGTCGTCACAACAAGGACGTAAGTTGTCGGCAAGCAACCGAATCTCGGAATAAATATTGTGTGATTTGTCTCATTGGATTTCTTATTGGACACTTGCCCGGTTCGGTATACATTTCTATCACTTGCACTTTACATTCTTTGATATATTTTGTGTAGTGATAGTTTGTGGAGCTAGTGAACTAGAGAAGTAATTAGTTGAGTAGCTAGTTGTTTTTAGTTGTAATTATCTTGCTAGCTAGCTCACTAGATAGTAAAGTAGTGACATAGCCAAATTGATTGACATAGAGATCATAACTTGCTAGTTTATTGGTCTAGTGTCTTGTAGGAATTTTTAATAGTGGCTTGCATTTTTAATAGAGCTAGAGCAAAACGCTTTATCGCCATTTAGTTGTCTAACAAGATGCTCTAATGTCTTGTAGGAATTTTTATTAGGCTATTCGATCACCCCCCTCTAGCCATTTAGGACCTTACAGTAGGGTCTCGCTGGAGCTCCACGGCTGCGGCCACGGCGGCGGAGCTCCGGCGAGACCCTACCGCGCCGTGGCATGACGGTGGCATGAGGAGGAAGATGAATAGTGCTGTGGTTGGTGATCTGATCTGCAGTGTTGATTTCCCATCCGACGGCTAACGTTCGTCGCCTAAAAACATCCCAAATTTCAGGCTCCTAAGATTTAGGAATTCCCTTTTTATATATTATTTTATTTTGGAAAGGAGGCAAAATATCTCGTAGTTAGATCTCTAGCCAAATTATTCAACTACCTGATCCTTGCGTGATGGTCACATGCATACAGTGTTGTACCATTCAGGTCAACAACTTTGAAGAAGGTATTTATGTGACGTTGTATATGGTGAAGTTTTTTTATGATCTAACTACCATAAGTAACTAGTAGTGTGCCCGTGCTAATGCTACGGCTACATTTCAGATATACAAATTAACACTACTATGAGACGGTATATGTTTCTATAGTCAAGCATAGTCCCTATACTATTGAATATACACAACTCTGTTTTTCTATAAAATTGTGCATTACGAAACCATGTTTAAACTATCTCCATAACATTAGACAAAATCAGTTTCACAAACAATACTTAATTTCTATTACAAACTTAATTTCTTTCCCTCGAGGAACAGACAACCTTAATTTATCCATTTAGAGTTAAAGTGATGCCTCCCATGTGCATCATTCACTAATCAGGACAATTTACATCAGGTCCAAAAAAAGGACTCAGCAGCCTGGAAGTTCTAGGCCTCCGACTAAACCCAAAGCTGGAAATCTGATCCCTACAGCACCAGTACAAAAAATAAAGGTAAACAGAACACATACAATCAGATGGCCACTCCACCAGGACTCAGCTGTCTCGAGCAGCACTCTTATCAGTTTTTCTTCACGCCATGAAGCACATCAAACTGCTGTTGACGCCATCACCTAGGTCGAAGTCCAAGCGTTCCATCAGGTCATCCCACTCCTCCAGGGGATCCTTTCCGGCCATGCCACCAGTAGCTCCAATTGGGACAATCAAACCTGCAGAGTCGCAGTTTATCCAAATGCCAGACTGGGCATAGAACAGCCCAATGCTTGACCATCAAGAGAATGGTGCAACACACTTGCCGCCAGGAGCGCCAGCTAGGGTACTAAAAATATATAGAGTTTATTAGTTTCCACAGTGCCCCAAGAGTAGCATAGATAAACACATCCAGGATGGCATGTTTTCTATCACAAATTCACATTTTAGCTAAAGATTCAAAATTATCCATCATATATCCATCAATTATCTCGGCTAGCTGAGACCAAACCCTAAACCATCATATATGCCATAATTAGCAGACAGTAAGTTGAACTGGTCATTTTCCAATTTGCTATCATCAGAGTCAAAATTCTAATTTTTATGCCATAATTACCAGACAGCAAGTTCAATACAAGAATCTGTTTTCTTTTCTCCAAGTCCAGCACCACGCCATCCACCGCCAGCCTCCATCCTCTCAAAAGTGCCATGTTGGTAGCATCCCCTTCCATAAATTCAAAAATTGAATTTAGCACAATACAAGAATGGAAGTAGTATCATAAAAACTGAATCCGCAGTATCATTTTTTTTTTGAAAGACCTGCCAAACAATCACGAAGGAACCTAAGCCGGTAAACAAAGGAAAGCTAAACATGCAATCATTTAACCCTGAGAGAGTACCTTAACAGAAGGCGACAACTTGATGTTGGTAACCTCTTAGAAACAATTCTGTCGATAGCATCTCTCAGCCTCTCGTAGTCCTCTTTGACAGGTTAGTATATTGCCTGTGCTAACCTCTTTGACAGATTAGTATATTGCATGTGCTAACCTCTTTGACAGATTAGTATATTGCCTGTGCTAACGCTATGACGACATAAAAAAATGAACATAGATCAACCAAAGTACGATATATGTTTCAGTAATCAAGAAACCAACCCATGCTAACAGTACACAGCAACATTTATCCACACACACATATTTATACCTGCCATTATGTATTTGTCGGGTAATTTCATGTAAAAGTTGTTATAACCACACACACTGATTTTCTTCCTCAAATTTCTTTCTACAAGCAGCTTGCAAGTTTGCTAAAAAATCAGTATAAATGCTGCCAAGAAAGAAGAAAAATTAATAGATAATTCATAGCCCTCAAAAAACAGTTTACACATAGTTACTGCATCCTGCACGGAAAGGAAGGTTACAATGCAAAATCACCTGAAAATGAAGAATCGATGGCTTAACTGATCTAGTGTTGTGCTGAAACTCTTACTTGCGATGGATTTCATTGTGCTGGCTGGCCTCTGCAAGACCATGCCTGGTGCTGCGTAACTAGTTTTTAGTTGTTAAGCCCTAGTTTGGTTTTGGATAATTGATGAAACCTATGCACTAACCTTTGTCATGATATGTGATATGAGCTAGGTTGGTGCAATCCAAGTATAGAGCATGGTGGCACTCAATTGGTGATGTTGATACCATGAAATGATGAAGATGGCCACATGTGATGATGATCAAGTGCTCAACTTGAAAAAGAAGAAAGAGAAAAACAAAACCTAATGGAGATCAAGGCAAATGTATAAATAGAGGTTTTGTTTCGGTGATCAAGACACTTTGGAGATTGTGATCACATTTAGGATAAATGGCCGTACTATTAAGAGGGGTTCTTAACTAGACAATTTGGTCATCTAGTGCCACTAGGTGTTGGACTTCATGCATTGCATTTAGGCCTAGTGCACTTCCGAGAGCAAGAGAAAATATTTATAAAAAATGTTTGGAGAAATGCTAACTTGGCTCTAACATGTTTTGAGAAAACACTTTGAAGGTTAGCAACGCTTGCAAAAGAGTGTTAGACCGCTCGTGAATTGAATAGAGAAACGAAATCGTAGCTAACGGAGGTGTTTGCCTCGGGGTGGTCACCGTCATGTGTGTGGCGGTGCACCGCCCTGGCCTGTCCGGTGACCGGCTGGCTGTGGTAGAACCGCCTAATCTAATGTCTCCCAGGAGTGCTCGTCTTTCATTAGCCACTAAGCACCTAAGGGAGAATACTAAATTACTCGGTTCCGTCGGGCACACCCTAGGAGAGAACCCGAAAATCCACGTTTTTCCATTAGAATCACAAAATAGAGAATAAAGCTTACATCATTCTTAACCATTTCTTACATCACTTTTAATACAACATCAGAGTATAATATTGATTATTATAACAGTGGAATATAATCATATTATCAGGGTTATAAACAATCTAATTGAAAAGCGGAATATAAACATGTGATCAGAATTACAGCGAAAATAAATATCTAATCATAACATGATAAAGTATTGATATATAAACTACGACAACAGATTATGAAACTTTCATTTATAAAAGCATTTGGTGAGAGTTATAAATAACAACTACGATCGTAGCGTAAAGGAATCCTCGCTGAGCCCACCAGGAGGTATCCACACAAGGGTCAGCTCTAGCATCCACCTGTCACCTGCAACAGGGGAATAAAACCCTGAGTACTCAATTGAACTCAGCAAGACTTACCCGACAGGAGGAAAGAAAAGACACCAAGGATATGCAAGGCTATCTGGCTTGTGGGTTTATTGCATTTGCAGGAAGCATTACTAAATGTGTGTCCTTATATTCGATTTTTATTAATAGTCGCGTTGGTTCATTAACTAACCATTCTATATAAGCACCTGTGCTACTTTCAAACAAGAGTTGAGCAATCAGTTCCATTTCTTCTTCTTTCAACTTTCAGTTCTTACTACGATGCTAGAGTTAAGACAAGCCGTACCGACTCGGCGGCGATTCGCGAACCAATGTGCCCAGCTGGGTGCCCCAAAAACACATGCCCCGCTTGTACCCCAGGCACAAGCAGGACCAACCCATCACTCTCCTGTCCTGGGTGTCCAAGTCCCCGTCCAAACTAGGACTCCAAGCCCTCGCCTCTGAGTTCAAGACTCAGTGCGGTGCAAGGACCTCCTCCACCAAAACAAAACCCTGACAGTCGATCCGGAAAGAGCTGGATCCATGACAAGATAGCAACAAATCTTCCAAGCGCCCATACCCAAATATATGCTCGGGACAATAGATCTGTGACTTGCCTTGCGTCCATTGCGGCCGGTCCTTAATCGACACAGACAGGAAAAGCAATGTAACCAAGCCATGCCCCGCGTCCACGGCGACACAACTTCTTACACCCACCAATACCCAAACCATATCCCTGCCCGGTCATAATTTTCCTTTCCACCATTTATATTTTCCAACTGATAATAATCCAATAATATATTTTCTATCTCTCGCGAGTGACAGCCATCACTCGACTTCTACCGGAATCCTGTAGCATAGCAATCTACCTGATCTTGTCATACTAGTAAGACTCATAGGATAAAGATATATATATATATATATATGCAAGTGCGTTTCAACCAACTCCTTAAAACTTAATGCACAATTATAATTTAAACTGCAGAAGAGTAGGGGTTATTTAGTATCTGCATCTTCAGATCATCCACCATCAACTGGATAGAAAGCCCGTTACATCATCTCCTAGAGAGAATACCATTACTCCATCTTCAGATTCCCAATCATCCTCCAATTGATCCGTTGGTCTATCTCGTACCTATATGATATGCAATGCGATGCAATGCAAAGACATAATTAATTGACTGCAACCGTAACTCGTAAAATATGATTTACGCCTCTCAAGTTAATGAGCTGGTTCTAACGACGATCGTACTTAGGTTACGTATCCATGTTGTCGAATAAGGCGTTACTTCCCAACAATTGTTTTAGTTATACAAACCCAAGTTGTTTCTTTATTTTATCCTATCGATTTAATCTTTATTCAAAATAGGGCATCACTATCTATCTAGCAAACTAATTATTTTAGAGCTACAAAAATTATAGGAAGTACCTAATATTGCTAGGAGCCTACTGTAAAAATTTTTGATCCAACAGTATTACCAATTTATCACAACAATTCCTACAAATTTATATTTTTACAATATTAAGTACCTTAAATTAATTATATAGCTTCCAAGAATATTATCACACTATGTGAACATAATATACGAACAGGTAGATCATAATTTTAGGAGACTAACAAAACTAGTTTCACCATGTTTGGACACCTACACAATTTTATATTGATTTTACGAGTTTATTTTCAAAACTAATTTAACAAGTGCTCAGAAAACTAAAGGCCAGCGGCCTGGCTCAGCCTGCAGACATGCACGTGGCCCGCTGGCCAGACGTGGCCCAGCGGCATGGCACCAGGCCCAGGCAGGCGGCACAAGCCGGCCCCAGCCATGGTGGCCACAGACCGGCCCAGCGCGAGGGCAGGCCGGCCCAGGCGGGGCGCGCGGCTAGTGGCCTAACAGGCCGGCTCACGCGCGATGAGCGCGGCCCAACAAGACGGCGGTGGTAAATTTGCAAGACGGCCCCTATGCTTTCCTTAAATTAATCCGCGGTACTAACGTACTATTTATGTGAGTCTAGTATTTTGCAATAGGGACCATGTATAAACTTTCTCCTTGGATTCATACCCTTTTCTACCTTCTCCAAAACAGAACACGGCACAGAGGCACCGACCAGCAGCAGCGGCAATGACGCGGTGGACCACCCGTAGGCGAGCCGCACGGGGAGGTGTGCGAACACGACCGTGCTCGGCCCGGCCGTGGCGCGGACCGGGGCGAAGCACGGCACGGCGGCTTCCGGCACGGATGACGGCCGGAGAAGCGACACGGGCAACGGCGGGCGGGCATGACGCGCTCGGTGGTGGCGACGTGCAGGTCACGGCGGCTCGGCGAGGGCGGTTACTCGGCACCGGGCAGACACAGCGCAACTCCAGCCAGACCCTGCACGTGCCGGGGCAGGGCGCAATGGCCCGGCCGCATGCGCGCAGCGCGGCGGTGGCCCGAGCAGGGACCGTGGCATGGCACCGGCCTTGCTGCACCAGAGGTGGCGCACGGTGGCCTGCTCCGCGCGACGCGGTGTCGGCGGAGGAGGTGCAGGTGAATCGGTTGGCGATGCACGGCCTTGGCAGATGCTGTGGGGCAACGGGCACCGGAGATGGAGCGGTGCGACAACAGCTGTCCGGCGTAGGAGGTCAGCAGAGGAACAGAGAAAGCGAGCTAGCGGGGAGGACAAGCAGGAGCTGGGCGCCGATGAGTAGCAGACCCGGTACGGGACCGAGGAGCGCGTGCTCGCGCGCAATGGCCGGGCGGCGGCGTAGCTACTGTAGTGGTGCGGCCACGGTGCACCCGGGGGTGGCGCTGAGAGCCTGCACGCGCTCGCGCAAGGGGCATGGACAGCGACGTGCGTGCGGGTGGCTCGAGCGACTGCGGCGATGGGCGAGCACGGAAGTGGAGCGGCACGGACGCTGGGGTACCGAGCGGGCATGGCACGGCGGCCGACTAAGGCAAGTTGGGAGGGAAAGCGGCACGGGCGAGCGAGAGGGAGGCGCGGACCCGCGCACGGGCTCGGCTGTGCCTGCACATGCGGT